TCTCCAACTGCTGGATATCTACCAATCGCCCCACGTGGTCAGATGTGGCACAAGGCTGAATTTAATGTCGGGTATTCGAGCCCGTAGGCTCGGCCAAAAATTCCCCGTAGACCCCGTATAAAACGGAGTCGGGTAGCTATTTCCCGAGACAAAACTCTGCCTTTCGACATAGCCTCGTCCGTAGATCCTCTCTGCCTCCGGGCAAAGAGTTTGACCAGCACAGCTGGAAACGAATCTCCAACTGCAGACTTGTTTCCCGAGAAGAGACTCTGTCCTTCGATATAGCTTCGTCTGGGGATCCTCTCTGCCTCCGTCCAGAGACGTTGACCAGAACAGCTGGAGACGCATCTCCAACTGCAGACCACCATACAGTATTTACTAGTGTATTTATGGGAATAGGGACATACCTATTATCGTCCCTATGTATGGTAGAGCAATAATCCAGGAGCCCACCGGAAAATATCACCTGTCAATTTAAACGTGGCCTTGTAAAAAGGCAGATTGAAGTAAATAATATTAACTCGATAACTCTTAACAAACAGAAGCAAGAAATACACAACTCATTACAAAGGAATACCAACTCTGAACAACTTAAAGTCATTGGGAAATTAAAATACAAGAAATTTAAATAGTTATAACACATTTCTCTCAAACTTTAATATCAATATACGGAATGTTATTCGTGAGTATGAACGGATTTTGTTAAAAATTAGCAGACATAATGTCTGTAATTTATTCAATCAGACATGCCCTAAAAGAGAATTTGCTTTCCAAATACACACAGACACACTAACACACACACACACACACACACACACATATATATATATATATATATATATATATATATATATATATATATATATATATATATATATATATACAGAAAGCTTTCTTCAAATTCTCTACAATCCTAAAAGTGAAAAACAACTAGCCTAAAATCATTCTTCGGAAAGGAAAAGTCCCACTTCATTTATCTTTTTTTTATTTCTCGTCTCTTTGAGAAAGGATATAGGCCTGTTCGAAATTTTCCCTTTTTAAAATCTTTCTCATCATACTTCCATTTGGTCAAATGTTTTATTAATATACAATATTAATAGTTATATTATCAATATTGCTATTTTCCTTGTTTTTACCTCACTAACTTCTTTCACTGGCCTATTATATATATATATATATATATATATATATATATATATATACGCCAGAGTAAACAAGCAGTAAAATATTTAAGATCGTACGCATTAAAAGTGCTCAATATCAATGATGCTGACCTGAAAACTACCACGGTTTCTATCACTAAGGTCTCTTCAGGTGGTTTCATCAGCAAATCAATCAAATAAGGCTCAAGAACTTAAATCCTTTCGTTCGAACCCGGAAGTAGTGGGGGGGGAGATGGAGCGAAAAACAAGACAAAACATATATTATAAAATATAAATTAAAAACAAAAATTAAAAAAGTATATTTTTCAAAACTCTATCCGGGTTCAAATAACCCCAAACTGAACTTCTTAACGTTTCTACACTTGGTCCTGATTTTTCACCTCCCGTTTAATAATTCAGTGCTCTCTTTATACGTTGCTCTTCTTGGCATAGCTTACACGTATTCCCGATTATTATGTTAGTCTTTAGATTGCGTAAGATACTCCATTTAATGTTTAGGCTTGTGTTATGTTTCTAAATGTTTCTTCCTAAAGTTCCAATAGTATCTTGCTAGCTTCGTGCTGTGACTACGTTCCGGGATTCTAAAAGATGAGGTATGATTATATCACCTCTTCTTGAACTGGCCTCAAAAAAACTGATGTATTGTTTTCTGCTACTATTTTCACCTTCTACTTCGGAATAATATACAACCCACACACACACACACACACACACACACACATATATATATATATATATATATATATATATATATATATATATATATATATGTATATAAAAAGAGAAAGAACAGTAAGATATATAGTCCTATGTTCTTATTAATACTTTTTTATTTTTACAAAACAGTGTTCAATGCAAATCTACAGAGCATAAATATTATAAATTTACTAATTTAAAAATATGGTTCCATCGCTACACAGAATTTAAAATGTTTCAAAAACAGAAGGTAAAACCTTCAAATTCAATTATAGAATTAAATTAAAGTCTCTAGTCTAGTTTCGGACTAGGGAATGTTTTTGAAACATGGTAATTCCTGTGTAGCGATGGAACTCTATTTTTAAATTAGTAAATTTATAATATATATACACAGACAAACACACACACACACACACACACATATATATATATATATATATATATATATATATATATATATATATATAATGAACATTGAAGTCAACACTTAGAGGCGACAGGCTGTTTCATGCTAGACGCAATCGTCAGGCCACTTTTATATTTACACACGCTCTATCTCTGATAGTGAGCACTTCATCCCATAAATATAGCACATATTAAGAGTATATTTCTTCATATATATATATATATATATGATAAAAACAGTTTTAAAGTAAGCTATATTTATGGATAGAATTGCTCAATATAAGAGATAGAGCATGTGTAAATATAAGGATGGACACTGAGCTCAACACCGAATGTTGACAGTCTGTTTCACAATTGAACGCAGTCTTCAGGCTATGAAGATAAATTGAAGACTGCGTCCAAGATTAGACGGTTCCCTACGAGTCCCAGCTGGATTCAGCTCCTTTCCCACTTCACCAACAAGTCAACAAGCTCTTCTGATTTGAGTCCCCTCGACTACTACTTGTGAAGCGTCGTCGAGAGGGAGACCAAACAGCAGGCTAACAATACCAGGGACTCGTTGAAGACCGTCATTATGGACGTGATACCAAACATCAGGCCATAAAGTCACTTCCAAGGCCGAGATCAAAATCGTCCCCGAGGCTGAAGGTGGTTTTGCTGAAGAATTGTTTTCTTTATTTGTACATGTGAGCAATTTAAATTATATATACGGATTTTATTGAACATCATTGCTTTATTTATATTACGATTTCTCTTTATTGAATATATTTACTTTTCTCTGTTACGATTTGTTCTCAATTACCAAGCGCATTCTTTTATACATTTGTTTTTTAGTTGTTTTTTTTTTTTTTGTTTTGTTTTTGTTTTTTTGATTACTTCACTCGATGCATGGTGATAAAGTTGCTAAAACGCAAAAGGATCCCCTGACATTGAAAGATACTGCGAAAACGTTATTGAGGAGAGAAGATAATAAAATGACAGGTTGCATTTAAATTTTTGAAGATCACAATTGACCGGAAATGAAAGAATTCGAAAGAGAGTTCCACAAGCGAAAATATCGAGAGAAGAAATTATTCACGTAGAACTTCCAGTTATATCTACCAATTCCAACACCAAAATGATGAAATCATGCTGCCAATCTAGTACTGCGTAAAATTCATGAAGTCAGGGTACCAGTGTGAAAAGTTCATCAAAACAATTACCATGAAAATACTTATAGAAAAGGCACAGGAGAACTACTTTACGATGGTGAGAATGTCACTGAAACAGAGATCTCAGATTAGGAACAATAACATTAAAGATCCTTTTATAGGTCATGTCAATGATTTATAGTTTCATAGAAGAAGCTCTACACCAAATGTTGCAGCAGTATTCCATACACGGACGAATGATAGAATCAGGTGAGAGAAATTATCTACCACAACACAGTGAATCAACTTCCCCTGCAGCAGGCCGAGCAATTGATTCAATATAATCGTTCTCATACGTGTCAATGGAAAACAGAGAAGGCACAGTGAGTTACTCTGCTAGAAGTTAGCATCAGACATGTTGATGAAAGGCAAAAAAGCGGTGAAAATGGAGGAGCTAGGAGTTTGAAGCGTTCAAATTAACAAGCCATTTCTATATAGTAAAAAATGAATGTAAACACAACTCAATAATTTTAGCTTAACCGTGAAACTTGGGTTCGAAAGAGAAGTCTTTTAACTTTTCATTAACTTATTTACTATTAATTCTCCATTTACATTATTACACGCGGACTATATAACTGCAGACTATAATTGTGTACTTGGATCTAGTGGAAACGGGAGTGGATAACTGAGCAGTACAAAATCAGAAAGAGGGTGAACACTAACTGAGCAGGAGTAATTAATAAACAGGACTAACAACAACTAAATAAAAACACGACGATCAATAACTGAGTAGTACTAAATATGAAGAAGGATTAGAAATAACTGAGCAATACAAAATACGAAACGGGACTAGCAATAACGAAACAGTACTAAATAAGAAACAGGACTAGTCATAGCCGTGCAGTACTATAAAAGAAACCAAACGAACAATAACTGAGCAGTTCTAAATGAGAAACAAGACGGGCAATAACTAAATAAGATCTTGACTAAATATCTGTTGACATGGACAACGGGTGGGAGCAACCTATCATCGCAGATTAAATAAAGGGTTCAGTTCGAAATTGCTGGAAGTTAAAGCTGGGGACAAGAAACCGCGTGTAAATAGTGTAAATAAGGATCAATTATTTATTTCTGATACCAGAAATACGGGAAGAACATATTCATTATCTATTTCTTAATATTGAGCACTTTATTGGTAAAATAGGCGTATACTATATTTATCATATATATACAGGGTGCGATGGGTAAATTGTCGCCATTTTGTATTTTTAATTTTGCGCAGTATAACCTAGTCCGGACTGTCAGTTTTTCATTTTTATTCACACACACACACACACACACACACACATATACATATATATATATATATATATATATATATAGTCGGCTAGTCGTTTCCGAGCACATCTTGAATGCATTAATTTCATCTCTTCTTTTTAACTGCATTGTTTATTTCCATGTAAAGTGACATCTGACTGCTCACAGTAGACATCAAAAGTAACTGGTAGAGTCTTCTCTTGAAAATGGACAACATTTTATATCGTGGCGAAAAAGAGGGTTTAGTCACCAATTGTCACCATCGAAGAAAACATATATCGTTTCCAACACATATTGATAGAGGACAGGCGAATGACGATAGATAGATAGATAGATAGATAGATAGATAGATAGATAGATAGATAGATAGATAGATAGATAGATAATATAAAATGAAAAATCATTTGCATCTATAGGCATATTAATATGTAAAACCGCGTTGGTATTAATCTGTCAAACTTACATGAGACGGAATTTGACACATGTATGGATTTTTATGCCATCTTGAAATTCATTGCAAACATCCGGAAATCTCTTAACTTATGCTCTTCAAGAACAAATGGAAGTTTCGCCAGTTCTACTGCGAATCGCTTTTCAACTCATAGCTTTTGTTAGTTTTATAAATAAAAAAGAGAAAACCACAATGCAGATTAAATGTTTCTTCTATTTGTTCTTTTCTATGTGTGACTATATGTGGGCTTTCTGCAGCTTATTGTCTCTGTATGCATGATTGTGTATAAGTGTTATAGTTCGAGCGGTATTGTGCGACTGTGTATGTCTCCAATGTTATCAGTCGTCAATGATGTGTGTGAACATTTTTCTTCGGCGTATCTTTAACTAATTCGGTAGTAAAATCGTTCAGTATTTATAAATCAAAGCTCATTTTCGCCACAAGAAACCACAAATATAAATAATCTCTCATAAGATTTGTTAATCTGACAGTAAGATGTTTCTTCCAACGGATCAAATGAAAAGAAACAATCCAAATAACTTGTTTGTGTGATTAGATAGAAAGAGAAAGAGAAAGTGAAAGAAAGAGAGAGAGAAATATACATATATAATGGATCTAGATAGATAGATAGATAGATAGATAGATAGATAGATAGATAGATAGATAGATAGATAGATAGATAGATAGATAGATAGATAGATAGATAGATAGATAGATAGATAGATAGATAGATAGATAGAAAATGTCATACAAACTATTTACTTGATCATGACAGGATGCTCAATAAATCTATGTGCTAAACGTTTATTTAACTACGATGGGATGCAGAAAAGCATTTATCCCGAAGAAGTTGGACGGGTCACGGCAGGTCAAGTGTGTATGTGTGAGAGAGAGAAAGAGAAAGAAAGGGAGAGATTTTGGAAAGCAAATCAGGAATCAGGGGCATCTGTTATGTCAAAATCAAACCTTAATGAAATCAACGATGAACATAGCGTCACGTCACGTCTCAAACCCCGTGGCCTTTTCAATTCGTAAGGGCACCACAGAACTCAGATATAATATCACTGGTGCACCTATGACTAGATAATCTAACGGATTGCATTCTTTCTCCGGCTGGTTTTGAATTAAGAATTTTCTTTCTCCTAGGCTTTTGCCGCATCAAGGCAAGAGAGTGTAGTCTGCCCTGCGATCCAAAGTTGTAATGTACCAGATCGAATTTGCATTCATTTTATCCTAGGAAACTAATTATCCGATTTCGCCCATGCGACTCTTTTATAAGACTTTCACTGCTTTTGGTTTGTAAATGTCAAATTCACTGTTTGAAAAATAAAACTTTTTATAGTAATAAGATGTATATATATATATATATATATATATATATATATATATATATATATATATATATATATGTGAACATTAAGTCAACACTCAGAGGCGACAGACTGTTTCATACTAGACGCAATCGGCGGCCGTGTCTAGCATGAAACAGTCTGTCGCCCTGAGTGTTGACTTCAATGTTCACTTTTATATTTACACAGGCTCTATCTATGATATTGAACACTTTATCCCGTAATCATAGCACAGCTTAAAACTATATTTATTCATATATATATATATATATATATATATATATATATATATATATATATATCAGTGGCGAAGGGTGACTTGGAAACTAGGGCCTGCAGTCGAGGATGTAAGCTAATCATCAATGCACTACACAACTGAATCGAAGCTGCTTTTCAATGACCTATCTATCTATCTATCTATCTATCTATCTATCTATCTATCTATCTATCTATCGTTGTATCAATTCATTGTCGGCCAAAGATTTTCAGAGCAATTACTGAATCCAGATTCTTCTGAAATTTTTTGTGTCTTGTCAATGCTGAAATTAAATTTTACATATCACACTATCTGGTAGATGTCCATGTGTTCCTATATTGACAAAATAACACACATGGTAAGCAGAAGAATTTCTTCAAAATGAGACATCCCGTCATCCACTTATACTGTTCATAATACTTAGAATCAAAATAACGATGATATTCCTCGCTGCAAACTTTGGTTTTGATTTTCAGTCCAATCTTTGGCTTCTCTCTTCCGAGAATTATATTCTTCTTCTCTTTGCAGCTTCTTGTTGCAAAATGTTGGCTAAATAGAGAAATTTTTAGAAAACATAAAATACTATTACTGGGTTATAATTTATAGTAGATACAGCCTGAAAAACGATACCTAAGGTTTAAAATTATATATTTATTTATTTTTAATATTTTATTTAAATTATAATTTTATAACTTTATATTTAACTTTAGATTTAATATTTAAAATTTATATTTAATAATTAACTTTTACTTATTTTTAATAGTTAATTGTAGTTTTATCAATTTATTTTCATATTTAATAATTAATTTATGTTTACATTTATTAAATGGTTTATTTGTTCAATTTATATTTAATAATTAGATTATATTTCACTTATATTTCATTTATATATTGTTGTAAATTTATTTTTATTAGCTTATATTTATTGCCTGTTAATTTATAGTTAATATATAATAATTTTATTAAATTTATTTAATAACTTATCTTTAATAATTATTTCATTAATTATTATTTTATTATCATATTATATGTATTACCTTTTAATTATTCTTCCTTAAACCTTTTTTTTAAATAATTATAAAAATCTTCTCTAATTTTTAAATTTTGAATTTTCATTAAGTAGTTTTCATTATGGAAACAAGATGTTAATATTTTTAAAGATGTTTTTTTTTTTACCTGGTGTCTTAATCTTAACACCCCCCTCTACTACCATGAAACCGTGTTTAAGCTTTGTCTAAATGATTTGCTGCATCTTCAGTGACATTATTCTTTCTACCTTTCCGTTATTTCTCCCTTTTTTCTTTTCTCCTTTTTCTTTGCCTTTTCTTTCTCTTTTATTTCTTACCCTTTTACTTTTTCATCTTTCCCTTTCTCCTTCTTTCTTGATTCTTTAAAGATTAAAAATTTTAATCTACCTTTTTATTTTATTTCCTAATCCCTTGGTGTTGATAATTCCTGCAAGGTAATTCTTGGAGGGGGCGGGACCAAATAGATATACATATGGGATATTTTTGAATTTCTCTCTCATATATATATATATATATATATATATATATATATATATATATTACCTGCCCAATAATCTTTAAAAAAATAATTTTAAACATAATATTTTATTGAATTTTTTTTTTTTTTCTGAAGATGCTTGTTGATGAAATGTTAAGAAATTGCCAATAAATTTTAAATTTACTATATTATTTTCTGATAATGTCTAGTATGGACGACCGTATTTACAAAAATCGGCACGTTCATACAGCCACAAAAAAGTTCAAAATTCTTTTTAAAATACTGAGGGTCGCTGAAATGTAGTAATGTTTTCCATTTATGATTAGTAAATATAGTTATTACTTAATAACAATATTATGTAACCGCTACAAAATTATACAAAAGAATTATAAAATACAGAATTATAAAAGAATTTTATAACATATTTTAAATTAAACGACAAATGAAAAGAGTTCTTGTAAAAATTCATTACTTATGGAAAAAATGAATTCAATTGTGTAATAATATATCTAATTCCTAAAAGCAATTCAAAACTTTTCTAATTAAATACTGTCTTAATTTTATTGTACTTTTTATTTTACGATACAGAGTAGAATTTTGGTAACTGTAGGTCCTGTTTTACAAAATAAAATGGCGATTTAAATTCTCCAAGGACTTGTGTCATTTCTCTTACACTTTCCATCATTTGTTAATACCCTGACCATATAGTGAGATTTCAGCACTTGTGACGTTTTTTATGCCTAAATTATTGGGATTAACCCATATACAGATCGTTATTGACTTATGATCACGATGGTTACAACCGACACGTCTTAAATCAATTTGGCCTTAAGTTGGCCTGTAATTAATTTTACAATCTTTTTATCTTTCTTTAAGCATTATTGTATTTTTTCTAATTTTTACGTTTTCTTTATGTTTGATACTATCTCTGTTTTTTGCTTCTTTTTTTTTCTTATTTTTAGTTCGTAAGATTTAAGTTTGAAAACGTCAGATCACGTGCAATCGAATTCACTTTATTTCCAATTTCGTACGTGTTTAATCAACCATTATTTTTGTGTCGACATCAGGAGACTTTCTTTCCATTCTTGGCAGGTTGAGGAGTAGCAATGGCAATTCCCTTTTGATAGTCATCTTGTTTTTTATAAGAAAAAATTCAAAGACACAAAAGGACACAAAAGTGTGTTGTGAGGAGGCTGTCCTAACACTGAGTTTAAGGCGCGCAAGGAAATGCTAGCGCTACATGGAGCTGGAGTAGAGAATTGTTATAGATTATGCTGGGAAAACACTCGCTCTGCCAGATGCGGAGAAGTCGTGGCTAGATGGTCAGACATACCAATTCGCGGTGGTGGGTATAAAATCGAACAGTCGTAAGTCGCATAGGTCTTAACTCGACGACGACCATTACAAAAATAAATATCAATGAATATCTTTGATCAGTGGGAAACAGAAAGACTTTGTTTATTAACAATAATTATGTGAAAATTTATGTGAAAAAATGGTGTAAAAGCTTGCACAAAATATCCTTTTGAATGCCTAATAAAAATCAAACGTGATGAAGAAAAATATTCATATGGGAGTGGGGAGTTGCAAAAGCAAAAAGACGTCCTTGGTAGAATGACCCATCCGAGATTAATGGTAGTTAACGGAAGAGTTCGTTGTTAGTTAATGGATTGTTTGGTTGCTTTTTATGGCTTATGAACATTTTGTGAGTTATTTAAATCCGAAACATATTTTAAATTGTAATTTTTTTTTGTTTGGTAGGGAATAAATATTGCATTAAAAATTTTTGAGGATAATAATATTTTTTTCAAATACAATTCCTACTATATAACCCATAGCTGA